TACTGCTGCTCCAGGAGACACAGAAGACACACTGTCCCACCGTCTGTCTACTCAGACTATGTGTGGAGGATGTTAACTAACCCGCTGTGCTGCAAAATACGATTTTCTGCTCTCTGCAAACCCCATTCTAGCTCATTTCCGAGCAGAGCAGTGTAAAACCTTCAAGACCAACCCCCCTCCCACCGCAGTGGACTCCCTAACCTCTGCAAGCTTGAGGAGCTCCATTTAACTGTGGGGTTTATCCAGCCACCACAGCCATTTACTTAGTACTCACTCTTCTCTTGTTTCTCTTCTGGCAAAAGCAAGTTCGTCAAGGCCACGAGCTCTGCCCCGGTTGCTGCCCAGCAAGAGGAAGCAACAGCCTCCGCTCTCCCATGGCCATTTATCACCTGCATGTGGCTGATAACTTCATCTGCCATGAAACATAAACACCCGCTCAGAAGTTTTGTTTCGAAAGCTCCTTTGATTCCAGACATCCTTGTATGGTTTCCTTTTATAGAAACAGAGGAATTTTCCTTTTAAAACTAGACCAGTTTTCCAAATCCTCAGTAAAACTGAGTTTATAACCCAGCAGCTGGTGCAGATGGCTCTGCAGGAGCAGCGATGGTGAATGTTCCCATACTCTGGAAGCACACCGGGGTCACATGAGGGATTAGTCTCAGCATCTCAGATTTTAAAACTCTGCTAAAGCACTCTACAACCACGGCTTTGGCTGAGTATTACCAATAAAGTGGCAAATACGAGGCTTTTAACAGCCAAGCAGGTTTAGGGCAAGCTTCTGTTGCTGCCAAGATGCAATTCAAACTCCCAGTGGGGAACTGTCACATACACACCGAGCCAGCCTGCTGCTCCGCATCCACGCCTGGCAAAACCATTCTGCTTCTAAAAGGTCCTTGTGCCCTTCTGTGTCACGGGCGATTGCACCTGGCCTGCCTGCCACCTCCCTTGCTGTCTTCTGGGGCTCTGGCTTTTGAAGAGCTCTCCCAAAACCACAAGCTTTGCTGGACTTGCACGCAGTTTTCTTGAGAGACACGCCGACCTTCCTCGAGGCCATGGTTACAGCAATCCTACGCAGCGCCCTGTAAAACTCCCCTGTATATCATGGTAACTGCTATTGCGGAGGACAGCGCACATCCTCCGGGACTCCTTGCACAAGCACCAGGGTGCAGGTTTGAAACGGTTCCATCCAGGACTTCACCCAGGGGCAAGTAGGCTCCTGCTTCGAACAGAGCAGAATCATGGCGTGGCCTGTGGCTGGCTCCTCTTGACTCCCCTCAGCCCCTCACCACTATAGAAAGCTGCCCCCTGCCCACTCTCTGCCCTCAGCAGGGTCACTGGACCCTGCAAACGCTGCCGAGGCTGCCAGGCCATCGCCGCCAAGCCTCCTCCTGGGGATGCAGGCAGGCCTGCCCCGCCGGCCCAGCCCAGGCCCTGCTGGGCCTCACCGGCTGGGCAGGGCCCTGCCTTCCACTGCAGGGGCTCGGG